CTTCCATCTGTTTTTAATACTTTCCAAGTATAGGTTTCTCAAAAGTACAATCAAGTGTTCCGTGATTCTTTAGGGTCTATGAATGATTTCCATTTATCTAAGTTCCTCAGCATCTGATCATAACTCCCACCTAGCACTTTCACTTGTTGGGAGCAGGGAGGGACAAGGCTTGCAGTGGAAAGGAAATAAGATCTAAAAAAGGCTTTCCCTCTCTTGTTTGCCTCTCTTCTGTCTCCCTCTGTCTCTTTCTCTGTCTTTCTGTCTCTTTCTCTCTCACATGGCAACTGACACGCCACTGGGTTTCTGAGTCTTTAAATCGTTGCTCATCTTTCTTTCTTAGAACTGCTTGGTGGATCCAAGCTACCACAGGGAGTGGCGATTACTCATCTTTCTCCTGCAGAGTTGAGGTGCATTCAAGCTACCAAAAAGACATGGCCTTTGGGTTAGCAGCACAACTCCCTATGGATTAAGCCTTCAGAAGTCTCCTGTAGTTAGAGGGAAGAATCAGGAACAAATGAGGGCAAAAACCATAGGAACCTCTGGTTGCTTATTGATAAAGGATTGAGCTACCAACCCAAAGGCACATGGCTTGGATCCACCAAATACTGGCTGGGAGATTTATTGCCTCTGAGAGTCCATTGGTGGGTAAGTTATGAGTTGGTTCTGACTCAACAGTACATAAAACAACATTATCATCTAACTAGAGCTATTTAAGAAGATTTTGTTCTACAATTTCAATTTCTTTATTATTAGACAAAAACTAATGAGAAACTTAATCACAATTAGATAGTTCCCACCTTTCCAGCATAGTGGTGAATTCCAAAACTAAGTTCCACACGTTTAGGCCTCCAGAAGTATTGTGATTTCAGGTTGTTCTCAAATTTTTCTGTAGAAACAAAAATTGTTGGAGTCATTTCTTTTACCATGAAAAAGGGATAAAGGCAGAACAGTCTATATAGCGAATATATGCAGGAATTGCAATACAAATTATAAAGCAAAGTTTTAACAATTGTAAATTTTTAAAAGGGGTGGAGTGGTCCTCAAATAACAGTGTGCAGTGTTGTTGTTGTTGTTATGTGCCGTTGAGTCGCTTGCGACTCATAGTGGCCCTATGTACAACAGCTCTAAACTCTGCTTTGTCCTGTGCCAATCATAATGTCTCTGACACTCCCATCCCGATTACCCCAGTCATTGACTCAATCCATTTCAAAGAGGGCCTTCCCCTCCTGCGCTGTTCCTCCACCTTCCCAAGCATGATGTCCCTCTCCAAGGACCTGTCCTTCCTTACAACATGTCCAAAGTATGTCAGACGGTGCCTCAGAATCCTTGCCTCCAAGGAGCCACCCGGTTTAACCCTTTCCAGGATGAATGTTTGTTTTCCTAGCAGTCCATGGTACCCTCAATACTCTTCTCCAGTACCACAGCTCAAAGGCATCAATTCTCCTTCTATCCTCCTTGGTCATTGTCCAACTCTCTGATGCATAACAAGCGATGGCCTGTGTCAGACGCACCTTAGTCTCCAGAGAGACACCATTGCTCTTCAGTACTTTGGAGAGGTCCCTAACAGCAGACTTTCCCCATGGCAATGCGCCTTTTAATTTCCTGGCTACTGGTGCCAAGAGTGTTGACTGTGGAGCCAAGCAAACTGAAGCTGTGTACAATCTCAATCTCTTCGCCATGCATCCTGATGCTGCCAATTGGCCCAGTGGTGAGAATCTTTGTCTTCTTGACATTGAGCCTCAATCCATATTGTAGGCTGCAGTTCTTGACACTCTGCAGCAAGTGCTTCAGGTCCTCCTCAGTTTCAGCAAGCAGGGTTGTGTCATCTGCATAACGCAGATTGTTGATAGATCTTCCACCAATCTTGACCCCACATTTCTCCTCATAGAGCCCAGCCTCCCAGATCATCTGTTCTGTATATAGGTTGAAAAGGTATGGAGATAGGATGCATCCCTGGCGTACGCCCTTCCCAATTTTGAACAATGCAGTGTTCCCTTGCTCTGTTCTGCTGACTGCTCCTGGTCCAAGTATAAGTTTCGCATTAGAACGATCAAGTGTTCTGGGATTCCATTCTTCTCAGAATCAGCCACACTTTGTTATGATCCACACAGCAGTGTGCAGTACACTTATTAAAACATAGACTAAAATGGGCTCCTTCTCCAGACTCTAATTCAGGACATGAAGAGTGAGTCTCAAGAACTCACCTTTCTAATAAGTCTTGGGTGTGAATGATGTGCTTGATCTGGGGATCACTCGACGGCACATAACAACAACCACAACAGTGGAGAGGAAGGAAATTACTTGAGAATGACCAATCAAAGATATTTGGAAAACTCTGTTTGATGCTAAGGTACAAGCCTGGAAATGTGGTGTTTCCTTCTCCTTTCTATTTGAGGAGCTACAGCATATTACTATTTACATAAGAAGGACCAACTGAAGTCTCAGTTGCCTGGAGTGGACTCAAGCTCATGGTAACCCCACATGTGTCACAGTAGATTTATGCTCCATAGTGTTTCATGCCTGTGACCTTTCTGAATGAGCTCTGGTGGCACAGTGCATTACAAGATGGGTTGCTAAGAGGTCAATGGTTCAAATCCACAAGCTACTCTATGGGAGAAAAATGAGTAGTTTCTTCTTGTAAAGATGTATAGCCTTGGAAATATGACAGCAGGCCTCCATGAATCAAAACTGACATGATGCCTGTGGGCTTTAGGTTGAACCTTTCTGAAAATATATCACCAGGCCTTTTTTTAAGGTGCCTCTAGTAACCCAGGGACCCCCACAGAAAAGACAATAGGGTCATAAGGCAATTACACTTACAGAACAATTTCACCAGCTTCAGAGAACCTGTTATTTCATGTCTTGAATCATTTTTTTTAAATTAAAAGAAAATGAATGCTATGAAACGATTTCCCTACAACCTAAGGGTTCTTAGGAGAGAGTTATTTGCTTTTCCAGCAAGGACTGTTTAAACAGAGAAGAGAATAAGCCAATCAGTGGATCAGAAGAAGCAGCATCACAGACTTAATGGTAAGACTTAGTAAGGGTCTGTCCAATGAGACTATTATTGTAAAAATAGAAGGATAACTAGTAAAACATGTATGGGAACCCAAGGGGGAAGGGGTGGGGACAGAGGAGTGAGGACGGGTAGGGATGAAACCACAGGGTTGCACAGTTTGGTGGGTGGAGGGAGGGGTGAAGGAAATGGGAAGAATCTGGTGGGGACCTGAAAAGATTGGGTAATGATGGTCATGGTCCAATGGTGACTGATTTTATAAAATATAATACATGAGAATGATTGTATGAAACACATATGATATGAAGAATAATGTGAAATATAATGTATATGAACTTTGTGAGCAAACTAATATAAAATAAAAAAGGATGTAATGTATAAAAGAAAAGCAAATAAGAGAAAAGTGTGAATCTGTGTTTTGTTCAAGTACTTATTATTAAACACAATTCATAGCATGCAATGTGTCAAACTGCTAACCAAAAGGTTGGAAATTTGAGGCCACCAGTTGCTCTGTAGGAGAAAGAAGGGCATCTTGTCCAACACAGACTTATAGTCTTGGAAACCCAGTGGATGGTCACCATAAATCAATCAATTTGATAGAAGTGGGCTTGGTTTCGATTATCCTGAGGGAAGATGGTGCTCTATATTAAAACCATTTTTTTCCGATATCTGAAACTGCTCAAGCTTTTAAAAAATTTCATTTATGGAGCAAGACATTTTTACCGTAACAAGGTTGGATGAGAATCTTCTTAAATATATTATACATCTCCTTGCCTTCTCAAACAAAACAAACAAACAAAAAGAATGTTTAATCTTTCTTTGATGACCCAGGATTATTATAATGACATTTTATTAATGTATTGTAACATTGAGGTCATTAAGGCATTTGAAGCTATTTGCTTCTATTAGAGAAATGACGAGGTTATTCAAAAAGAGTGTGTTTCTTCCCTTTTGCTTTCTCTTTTCAAATTCTAGAGCAGCCTCTGTCCCCAACCACAGATTTCTAATTTAGAGCTAGATAATTTCAAAAGTAATCTCTAACCAAAACTTCTATATCCAAAATTTAAAAAGGAGAATTCTGTCCATTTAACAACAACAATAAAGCCAAATCAAACTCATAGACACTGAGACAATTCCAGCCCTCCAGAATTTAGTAGAACTGCCCAAGAGAGTTTTCAAGTCTGTAATCTCTAGTGTTCTGCCCTTGTCCTGAAGAGTAGCCCAGTGTGATTTTAGTTATTAGTTCAGTGCTTATATTTCTGTACCACTAATTACTCCTAAGTATTTCACATTATTATGAACATTTATTGGTCCAGGTATTAGAGTCAAAGGTTCTCTTGCCAAGTTACACATACTTGATGGCTCACAAACAATGGCAACAACTACATTTTCTCCTGAAATATAAAAACTATAGCCACTGATTCGATTCTAGTCAAGGTGGCCTTACGCATGTCAGAGTAGAACCACACTCCACAGAGCTTTCAATGCTGCTTTCTTCAGATACAGATCACGAGGCCTTTGTTCCAAGGAGCTCTTTGGGTGGACTTCAACCATCAACCTGTTGGCTAGCTGAGCACATTCATAATTTATACTATCCAAGGAATATTTTCTCCTAGAGCACTTAAAAAAATGGAAAAAAAAAGTCCTCTAGAATTACATTAACTTATTCATAGGGTTATGTAGGCAGACATACTGGATTTAAAACTTACCCACAAGAGTCTGATCAGTGGCCTTGGGAAATCTGCTCTCTTCATCAAGTAAGGACAGTAAACCCATTGGCTTCTGCAGGAACAGATCTAGGAGGGGCCGGTTATCTTCATATTCAATAACTCTGGCATCAATGTCTTCATGTAGATATTCATTCTGATAGTTTACAATACATGTAGAAAAATTCACTTAAAGTTCTGTAAATAATATACAGCCTGATAATACTTCAGTCAAGTCTGTTGCAACTCCTAGCAATTGGCCCTGGGGTTTCTGTGTCTCTCTATATTCTCCAATTGGTTTCATTCACTCATTCATATGTGTTTTGTTGTATAGCCTTAACTACAAATGATCATTACAATTTGTGACAACAGCTCATCAAATCCTCAGTGAACCTTGCCTATTGCTTCATATTACCCCCTCATCCACTAATCTTGGCTCCCCTCTCCTTTCTATACTCGTCTACCCTTTGTGATAGTTTCTGTCTATATAAACTTTTTTCAGCTTCTGCCCCATCCCCATCAATCTAACATGCAAATCTTGTTTCATATCATTAATTACAACACACACTATACTAATTGCCCACTCATTCCACATTCTTAGTGGGAGGAGGCTGTCCATTTTTTCCTCATGAAGCCACCTGTGGGTTTGAACCGCTGGAGTAGGGTTTTGAGTGGCAGTGCAACATGCCATGAACTACACTACCAGAGTTCCATTTTGGCTGAGAACAGCTCCTTGAAAATTCATTTTATATACATAATGACAAATTTTGTTCTATGACCTTGTTCTTAAATTAAGTATAAATTTATTTTTTCTCTCCACAGAACTTCTGGCTCATTAATGTCATCTTTGGTTACATTCAGGATAGCAATAAAAGAAATTTTGTCCCCTAGAATTACAGAAATATCAAGCTTTCAAGATGAGGAAGAACAGATTAATGTGTAGTAATAACACGATACTCCATAATGTATCGAATACGAATTGGTTTTAAGGAGCCCTGGTGGCACAGTGCGTAGCATGTCAGACTGCTAACCAAAAGGTCAGCAGCTTAAACACACTAGTTGCTCCAAGGGATAGGCAGTCTCTGCCCAAAAAGATGTACGGCCTTGAAAACCTGATGATGAAGGGCTGCTTTGAGTCAGACATGACAGGGTGGCAGTGGTTGAGTAACTAGGTGTATTTTAGGAATGCTTTTGTTATGCACTGTCAAGTTGGAACTGACCCATAGCTCACAGTCCAGTGGGTTTTCAAAGGCAGTAATCTGCACGGGAGAAGACTGCCCATCTTTTTCCTGTGGAGCAGCTGGTAGAGTCAAAGAGCGTACCTTTGGGTTGGCATTCAGTGCCTTACTTCTCGTAATGGCATCCAAGCTCCTTGATCACATTTCCCTAATTGAAGAAATGCTACTGTTTCTCTTAAGTATACTTACACCATTTTTCAGTCAGTGTGACATTTACATGTTTGTGATCCTGCAGAACTAAGTTACAAAGCCACAGGGCTACCAAGGCTGTATTTAGGGAAGCACACTGCTTAAACATTCATCTGTGGAGCATCCAGTGAATTTCAATTTTTGACTTCTTGGTTAGAGCCAAGGCAAGTGGTTCATATCTACCAGCTGTTCTGCAGGAGACAGATGGTCAGTCTCTCACACAATTTAAAACCTCTGGAAACCCATTACAGAGTCAGCTATGGGTTGGTTCAAATCTGGGCTTTACCATTTGTGTAGCCATAGAAAATTTTGGAATTTTCTTAGTCTAAGAACTTTCATTTTCTCATCTATCAAATGAGGAACAGTGTTTGCCTCATAAAGGAAAAATATAGGTGGTGGTTGTTTTATGTGCTGTCAGTTGACTTTGAATCATAGAAATCATATGAATAGCTCTGAACCTTGCCCTATCCTGAGCCAACCTCAACATCTCTGATACATATAACCCCTTGCCACAGGCACTGTGTAAATCCATCTCATCCAGGACCTTCTTCTTCTGTGCTGAACCTCATTCCTTCCAAGCATGAGTCCTTCTCCAAGGACAGGTCCCTTCTGACAATATGACAAAAGTATGTGAGATGGAATTTTAAAATCTTGCCTCCAAGGAGCAACTTGGTTTCACCCTCTCCAGGACAGACCTGTTTGATCTTTTGGCAGTCTATGGTTTGTTCAATATTCTTCTCCTGCACCATAACTCAAAGCATCAATTCTTCTGTCATCATTATTCATTTTCCAGCTCTCAGATGCATAGCAAGCAATTAAGAAGACCATGGCATGGATTAGGCACACCTTAGTCTCTAGTCCAACACTGCTCTTTAGTGCTTTCACAAAAATATATGGTACATAATAATTATTTGCTATTGAGTATTGATATTTAGTTACATAGTCCATAGAGAGATATAATGTTAACACAAAAGCTCTGACTGGCTGCCAGTATGAATCCAACTGTGGCTCCAAAGGAGAAAGATGGCAATCCCCTTCCATGTGATTTACAGCCTCAGAAATTTAATGGAGGGTCAGCTGTGAATTGGTTCCAACTCAATGACAATGGGTAAGAGTGCAAATATAACTTACCTATCACTGAGAAGTAAAAAAGTTCATGTGACTCATTTGAATACAATTCTTGCTTTATTGTAGTAATCTAGAACTGGAGGCCGTGAATCTCCAAGGTATGCTTGCATGTAAACGGGTTTGTCCTGAAGAGGGTGAGCCAGGCTGCTCCTTGGAGTCAAGGATCCTGAGGCTTCATCTGACATACTTTGGGCATGTTGCAAGGAGAGACTGGTCCTTGAAGAGGGACATCATGTTTTGGAGAGTGGAGGGACGATGCAGGAGAGGAAGACCTTGATGAGATGGATCAGTTCAGTGATTGGGGTAATGGGAGTGGGTGTATCAGAGACAGTGAGGTTGGCACAGGATAGAGCAGGGTTTAGGGCTCTTGTACATAGGGTCGCTATGAGATGCAAGCAACTCGATGGCACATAACAACAACAACTTTGAAAAGAAGGTCTACTTCAGGTACACAAACAAGTTTGATGGAACACATTCTCAGCAAGGAGGCTAATGATAATGTTCTAGACAGGTGCGACAGTGTTCACAATCACATAAAATTAGGCAACAACAAAAAGACAACCCATTGATATCCAATTGGAATCAATTCATATCTGACCTTCAGTGGGTTTTCAAGGCCTGTAAATCTCACAGGCAGAGACTGCATATCTTTCTCCTACATGAGATTAGTGGTAGAAATGACCTAAAGAACTGATCATTTCCGATACTATTTTTCCTTTCTTTTAGTGCATTGTGAATATGTGAGAAAAATATCTGAAAAATAGAAACCCAACTCTAATACATTTTAAAATGTGGCAGAACTCAAGGTCTCAGAGCAGAGAACCTAAAACACATGCCCTTCATCTTCATAACAAAGAAATGGAAGCAAAGTCTTGACGTTTCACAGCTTCCTCATTTGAAGGTAACCTTGGGAGCAGAGTGCAGGCCTAGAATGATTTTACTGTTGGGCAAACATACTGACAGCATATTATAGCTAAAATGGCAACTGCAAAGTTCAAGAGAGGTTTTATATGTTTTATATAGAAAGCACACGAGATTAAAGTCTAAACTGACGCATTTGTCATTTCTATTTGCCTGTGTCAGAATCCACTGAAATATTTTATGACAGGCTGTGCAGAGCAGAGATGAGTGACTTAAAAAACAATGGGCTCGCCTTCATGATACTTGTCCTAAGTATGGACTTCTGGAAAAATGATGAAGTAAATGAATGCTATTACTCAGGATTTATAAAGCACTTAAGGTAAAGTGCTCATGCCTAAGACAATATATTAAGTACTTTTATGGCATTTATGATCGCAAAATACTCAGTTGTTTTTAAGCCTATATGGAGAAACTGAGCCCATCTAACTGTTTAGAAAGCCCTTTACTATTCCCTGCATATTAAAAATTGCATTGAAAACACAGAGAAAGTTATGGGCTGCAACGGAGTTGAGGTGTTTAATATATATCATCCCTATTGTGTTCTGATCCAGATGTTCTGGTGGTGGTGTCCCTTGGGATTCAGTACTAACTTTGAAACCCAGAAAACTACAGATTACTTCTTTGCCTATTTTAAATAGTGCTCTGATGTTCACCTTTGTGTACCAAGCTTCTGTAGATTTTGGATTATATCTCTAGGCCACATTTTCTGACTAAACGGTCTGAACATTTCACAGGCTCCTGAGAGGCATTGATTTTTTTCAAAGAGTTAGCAGCAATATCTACCATTAAGTGGCACTGCTGCAGAAATTGCTCCCAACTTGCTAGATTCTAACAGAAATAAGTTGTCATTAAATCTTTTCCTGATATTTTGATAGGTAGACAATGCAACCTATTGCTACATTTACCTTTCTTTGATTATATCTTAAAACTACCCAACAAGGTGATTTTGTTCTAAGGGAGGGGGGATACGTGGAATATACGCTCAGCACATTTTACAACTTAAGCCATGTCAGCTATTAGAATTATTATTCTGAGACACAATAACAAGCATAATTGAACTTTTTCTTGGACTCAGAGACACCATGGCACTATCAGTCACTGTGAAGTTGCTGAATATTTGTGAAGCTATAAACCAGACAGATAAGACACAATGTTAATGAAAGAAAAGCTCAGAGACTTTCTAGAAATCATCCACACAAAGGTACATTTTTGTTCCTTTGCTTCTTTCTCACTTGCAGCTACATGTCCTCTTGGTCATGTGGCTTCTGTCCTTAGGAATTATTTCACAAAACTGCCTTTGCATAAGTTCTTCTCTGGGAAATATCTTCACAGTGATTGTATTAGCGGGTTTAAGAGAGTCAGAGATTGTGAGGTTGGCACAGGATAGGACAGGGTTCAGATTGGTTGTCCATAGGATCGCTATGAGTCAATTTGATGGCACCTAACAAAAAAAGTATGTCAAGAAGACAAAGATTCTCACCACTGGACCAATTGGCAGCATCAGGATGGATGGCGAAGAGATTGAGATTGTTCACAGCTTCAGTTTGCTTGGCTCCACGGTCAACGCTCTTGGCACCAGCAGTCAGGAAATCAAAAGACATATTGTGATGGGAAAGTCTGCTGTTAGGGACCTCTCTAAAGTACTCAAGAGCAACGGTGTCTCTCTGGAGATGAAGGGTGC